AATGTTTCCGTTCTTAATGTGCATCGCCATATTACGAGTAATAATAGTTGGTCTACAACTAAACTTCTAGAGCAGGAAGTAAAACAAATGATGCAATTTGTTGAGAAAAGATCCTCTAAACCAACGTTCTCTCTTCCTCATCCAATGTACCTATCCGTAATTAGCGTACTCCAATTAGGATGCATTTTAATATGTGCTGCCATTACGACTATATGTTATATTCGTCGCTGCTATTCAACATGCTTGTTACAAGACTTACGTGTAGCCTTACCCCCTCTATCAATAACACGAAACATCATCTAAATAACACCTAATAATAATCCTTCAATAAATAAATAAACATAAACAAAAAAAAAAATATTATATATAATCATAAAATATTACCTTTCCTCGCAGAAAATGGCACCTACGTATTTTTATCAACAACATGACTCCATACTCGCATCAATTTGGAACATTCTTAAAAACTTTCATGTAGCAAATTTCTCTTCTCTCCCTTCTATTGACACCACTCTTAATTTAGTCCGTGAATGGCTCCAAGATCATTTCTCTTTTCATCCGCAGCTTCAGACCGCCTTGTCTACTGTCACTCTCCTTGATTCTGCTTCATCCTCGACTTTTCTCAGACGCAATAATATTGATCCCGATGATGTCATACGTCTTACATGGTCTCTTATCTGTCTCCGACCGTCAACTTATGAATTATTTTTTGAAACTCTTTTAGAAATAAATGAATCCACCTCCTCCCAATTCCACACTACTAGACTAATTCAGCTAGCGTGGACACTTTCTCCAATCTTAAATACCACCACAGTCAATCGTTTCTCATTCTTACCATCTTCCAATGAAACTAATCCCTCTACCATCTCATCAACAATATCCTCATCGAAAGAAAATTCTACGCCTGATACTTTGGCATCACATGTCTCACATATAACTGCACCAGCACAATCAAACAAAACATTAAAACGGCAATTATCTCATGAAACAATAATTCCACAACCACTTATGTCATTACAACTTGACGTTAATGAACCACCACTTTACAATGCTCCTGCTAATCCAATTCCTCTTATGTCATTCTATGCTCCCCCATGCTCAACTAAATCCCATCATCAATCACACCGTCGACCACCTCTTCAACGTAAACCACGTTTATACAGCACAGTCTGTAGTCAAGCACCACAAGCAAACACTAATACAAGTCAACGCGTCACCAATCATCGCTCTAATACATCGTCAACAACCTTCAACACCATCAACTCATCAACACAACAACAGGAACACGCAACAGTCTTCTCATCAAACCACGATCAACCATTTCCTGGATTATCAAGTGCTTTTAATACCGAGATGATCGAATTATCATAGTCAAATAATCGGTTCATATACAATGATCGTCAATCGAACTTTTACTTTCCTTCTCTTTGCGTATTCTTCTCATTTGCTGTCTATCGGTTTCAATTATATTGATCACCAGCAATAATTGTGTACGAGCGTATATTTCGTTTGGTGTTTTTTCTCCTCTTCATTTCATTTTTTTTTGTTTCTTTCATGATGTTTGTTGTTCATTTCTACATTTGTTTCAATCTGGCATTATTATTTTTTCTCATCTATCTAATCGAACACATAATAGTTCATACAATGTTATACGTTGTCTCTCATCTTCTAATTCACTAGCTATCAAAGTAGTTGTCATTTGTTTTTTTTTCAAATCGTTACTCTATTATCTTCTTAATCACTATCATTGTCTTTGCTCGTGCCGATGCACTCGTATCGCGGCGGATGGGTGTGTGACGGATTCTACCCGTCACTACTCTTCATGACCCCGATCGGGCACATCGGTCATGTTCTAATGTTCTATTCATTAATCATTCTCTCTTGTTTTTCTCTCTGCTGGACTATATATACTGCGTTCATATATTATCGTTATTCATTATTGAAATAATCTCAGAACGAGTGAGTCGTTCCATCACAACCATCTTTGAGACAATAACAAATTTTTGTTTCTCAGGCAAAATTTCCATATTACATTATTTATTATGACCGAATCCCCATCCGTGTGAATACTGGTACACTTCCAATGAATGTATTTCATTTACAACACGAGGAATTTTACAATTTTTGTTGAACTCCATTGTGGACCTATTCAAGCAAAAATCCTTAAACTTCAACTTATAAGCGATGCCAGTACTTTTATTGAATGTAATTATCCCACGGAAATTTTGCAATATAACAGCGAGAAGCTGAATGAACTGAAACATATAGCCTGTTTAATAACAAACGATGGAACCTGCATCATCGCCTCATTTAAAAATTTGAAGAAACGTCTTCTCAAGAAGTCAGAAGAAGATATAAAAAAAAACAAAAATTTTAATATGAATTCATTCACGTCATCTGGTACACCACCTATTGATAATCAAGTAAAATCTACTGATCAACTTCGAAAACATTTAAATACAATCATTTCTCAATGATTGTATTTTAATCATCATGTTGAATATAATTTGATAAATGATAGTACACTAGAAGAAAATGTGGATTATAAGATTGCATTTAAAAATACAAGCAATGGTGATCAATTAGCAATCATTACATGCGGCTGTGAATCTAGATTGACTTTAAGTCGAGCGAGTAACAACAGTTACTTTCAAATAAGTGTCTTTTTTTTTCCAGGGGGAACAAGCGGACTTCTGTACTTCTTGTACTTCTTCGTACTTCTTGGTACCCATAAAAAAAATTTGTAAAGATTTGCGTTTCAACGCATTTTTTCTAGTTCACATGTTTTCACTAGACTTTGAACGCAGTTTTTAAAACGCATTGAAACGCATCATTTAATAATTGAAAACGGATATGTATCGAATAAAACGCGTTTCTAAAAATGCATTTGAATGCGTTTAAATGGCATATTATTGTTACAAAAGAACGTATAAGAGCGATTCACTGTGAATCATTTTGAACGTATCCTATTTACAGCTAATTTTCTAGTAATGATGGATATATATGTATCTAATCTATGTATATCCATCATTACTAGAAAATTATCTGTAAATAGTATACTTTCAATTTGATTAAGAGGAGATCGCTCAAACATGAACTCTTATTAGATTGCAACAATTAGTCAGATCTAACTGAAGTTTGTATGGTAATTTTCACTTCTCGGAAGGATAGATAGGGTTAACTAGGGACAAACGAAAAGAAGGATACAGTTCGAGTAAAATAAACGAAAGAGAAGATATGGTTAGAGTTTAAAAAAGCGAAAAGTAGTGTATGTTTAGGGTAAAATAAGCAAAGAATACAGTAAGGTCGGATCGAAGAAAAGCTTCGTATGCAGAAAAAGAAGATGGAAAAAATAATCTTGTAAAAACCTAATTCGAACTAAAAGTACAGAATCTGGCGATTATATACACAAATGGACCAATACTAAAACAGTACTCATATTGAAGAAAATTTATAAATTTTTTGCTTTTTTACATGTAAATCCAAAATTGCTTTTGAATAAAACAGAATTATATTTGAAAAATATATGTTATTAGCTATGTTTTGAGTATCATCTATCAAAGAATTTTGTTTTTTTCAAAAAATAATTCAGACTCACCCAGAAAGACCTTTCAATTTATAATAGAAAAAAAGAAGAATTTTTATAATAAGAAAGTTTATTCAATGATATTCCATGTATGTCAAATTACATCAGCTGGAACTATTGTTTAATAACAATCAACTTTTTTGAATCATGAGATCACATAGAAGAGAAGAATAGAAAATGATAGAAAATATCACATTTTGCACAAGAGTTATCATTACAATTTTAATCACTAAGGGAAAGGAACAAACATATTCCAAACACTGATTATATAACTCTCGAAAGATTTCTAAACGTACTATAATTATTCAAATTTTCATTGGAGAACAAAGCAGCTAGCGTTTCTGAACGGCCTATGAAAGTAGTGAATATTGAAAAGAAATAGAAACTTTTATTTCTTTGAAAGAACATTCGAAAACTTATAAATATATAAATACTATTCCTTTTATTCTATTTTGATCTAGCTGAGTTTGGCGAAAAATTATCAGTCTGCAATAAATGCACAACAAAAGGTATTACGTTTACAACCTTAAATTATTCCAAATTGACACAATTTCAAGACTACCGGTCTTTATAGACGTAGAAATATACATTATTTTGATCTCACTAGTAAAATTACATTAATAACGACATCAAATAATTTATTGTTACAAATTTAGTCCTTATATAACACTAGAAAAGATGAAATATTGCTGAATTTTATTACAAAAAAAGTTTTGTGCGATAATGTTGAATTTGAGACAATTGATTTTGATCATCATATTCATGTTAATGTAAATGATATGAATATGAAAATGTATGCTACTATTAATTTGAAAATTTTTATTTTATTCGGTATCTAACGTTAAGTGAGTCTAGTTTGAGAACACGTTACTACTTATCTTGAATTGTTGGCGTTTCTTTTGTATAAAATACATGCTGTCTTTTTCAACATTATTCGAGTATATTTTTTATCTTATTATATCACAGAGTCGTTCTGAACAGTTATACCTTTTAACTTACCTATGTTGACATTCATGCCATCCAACATTTATTCTAGTTAACATAAATCTCTATTGTATACAAGAGCCAGTCCACATAAGCCACGACCGATTGCTATAGGACCTGCTCAATCGATATCCTCCGATTCGGCTCACTTTAACATATGTGATAGAGGCAAGAGTTTGATGAATTTTGGCGAAAGCCGATTCAAAAAATGTTGAACTCTCGATCTTTTATCGAGTTTCTACGAAGAGCACTATAAAATCCCACTTTAACTAAAGGCCATTTTGGGTATCCTATATTTCAACAACAACTCAACCAAGTGAGCTGAAATTTTCTGTGAATTGATAGACCAATAGTATCTGCACACAGAAAATATTTCAGATTCAACGATTGAGCCCTTGGTATTCTATGAATTTCCTTATTTAAGGGAAAAGTCACTAATTCGACCAACTTTGGTACTTTACATCTTATGATTGGAGAGTGATAGAGGGCTGGAATTTTTTTTTAAACATGTATTGATGAAATATTATTGCTGTGAAAATTTCAGCTCCCTAGAACAAACTATTCGTTCAGGATACTTTCGGCAAAAACGAGTTTTTCGTCCAAAACCCAGTTTTTGGCCTCGGATTTCAAGAGTTGTGACACCTAAAATTTTGTCCGAGTTGTCTAGTCTGAAATATTTCACTGAGGTCTACAATGTCATGCAAGAATCAAGCTGGAACAAGTAGAAACGGCTATGAAATCGATTCATCTTTTTGACAAAAAATGCAATTCATAACTTTTTTCTAGATACCCTACCTTTCTCAGATTTCTAGAGAACTACTCATCAGAAAAAAGTGAAACTGTCAGAGCAGATAGATCTTGGGTCGTGGAGTAAAAGCTGCGCTAGACGCAAATTTGCACAATGCTTTCATTTGTGAGATACCCAGATTCTAATGAATCAAAAGTTCGTTCGTAAATCAAAAGAAAAGTTTCATCTCATGAAATAAATTCTACCCAATATTAATCAACAGACGAACCTTGTTTGATTTCTAAAAAAAGTCCTTTGAAAATGAAAAAGAAATTTTTTTTTTGAAAATCGTCGTAGGGGAGTAGGGGGAATTTGAGAAAAAAATGTTTTTCATTTTCAAAGGACTTTTTTAGAAATCAAACGGTATTCGTGCGCTGATTAGTAGTACGCAGAGTTTATTGCATGGGATGGAATTTTTCTATTAATTTACGAACGAACCTTTGATCCATTAGCATTTGAGTATCTTGTAGATGAAAGCATTGTGCAAACTTGCGTCTAGCGCAACTTTTACTCTACGACCCGAGATCTATCTGCTCGAAAAGTTTCACTATCCTCTGATGAGCTGTTCTTCAGAAACCTGGAAAAAACGAGGTACTCAGAAAAAAGTTATCAATTGCATTTTTTGCCGAAAAGATGAATCGATTTCAGAGCCATTTCTATGTGTCCCAATTTGGTTTTTGCATCCTGTTGTAGACCTCAGTGAAGTCTTTCAGACCAGACAACTCAGGCCAAACTTCAGGTGTCACGACTCTTGAAAACCGAGCCCCAAATCTGGATCTTTGCAAAAGTTCTGATTTTGTCCAAAGTACCCCGGACGAACGCTTTTCTCAACGGAGCTGAAAATTCCACTGCAACAAGATCTTATTGCGATATATTTGAAAAAGAAATTTCAACCATCTATCATTTTCCAGTGTGGAGATATGAGCTAGCAAAGTAGGTCAAAATAGTGATTTTTTTCTCCAATAGTGAATCCCATAAAAAACCAAGGACTTAAGCCTTCAAGCTGAAATTATT